CATTAGAAAATGTATTATCAGACATGCACAGAAAACAGATACTTCCACCAGATGTTATAAACTGTTAGATTCTTTTTAGCTTCAGTCTGAAATTTACTATGCCTAAACGCACATGCTAATTATTGTTCATCTGGCCAAATTAATTAGCTTACAAATCAGAAATACACCAAAGTGTGTGTTCTCATATACGTTATTGCTCAACCACAGAACAGCTTGTCCTGTATTTACCTGAATTTGCTGAATCGTTCCTTATCGGCATCAAACATCTGCCTCATGTTGAGATTCCCAGCACTGGATTTGTACCATTGCTCCAGGGTCTGGTACACTGGGTCGCTTGTGAGTCCCATGTCGAAGTAAGATGTTCGTAACAATACTGCTTAAACGGACAAACTACGACGGAATGTCAGCGTGTCTGTATCTGGAAGATGAAGGACAGCGCCGTGATCTACCAGCAGGAAGTCATTTGATCATTTTACTCCAATCACATCTTGACCACCTTCCCCGCCTACAGTGACGTCCAAGTCCAAGTGGATTCAAGATTTAAAGGCAAAGTGCAATCAGGATCGTGTCACGTTGAGATACGACATACGGTTTATTCTTAACTTGAACGTGATTTTTATTATTTTCGTTATTAAGAAATACAAGCCGTTTTATCTTGTGATGTAGTCACTGGAAGAATCCCATTGCTTTAAATAAAATGCCTGCACGATCTGTTCAAATACATACTTGTAAAGTATAAGAACCTGTTATCAACATGTGTTCAAATACAACTAACCTACATTTTTCACAATTCCCAAAGAACACCTCGGTAGGGTTTTAAAAAAGTTGGATCCCAGCTACATGCAGCACCCATGCAATTTTGGGTAGAATAGCACGTCCGAAATTTTTTTTTGTCGGAGCTAGGTCAAACTAAGTTTAATTTTGCAACTGGACCACGTGTTCCCTCGTCTCTGAAAACTGATCTAATTTTCAAGAACATTATTTGACATTTCAGCTAAACATGCAATGATGTGTACTAGCCGAATATTAGACGTTGCTCTGGTAAAACTTGTTGATTTTGCAAACCAGTGCTACTTTGGGAAGCTTTCCCTATCTTATCTAAAGAAAAGGGGAATTTTTGTAACACATGGGTGGCAACTAACAGCACACGAAGTATGTTCTTTCAGTTTTAAAATCTTTCTTTTCCTCAGTTTTTCAGTTTCAGAACACATTATAGCATTAAGTTATTGATTAAAAAACTGAAGCAAAATCGTTATAGTCCTTTTAGCAATGTAATGTCTCGTTTTTCCTCATTATTCTCAGGGGTGTAGGACAGAGTTTGAAATTTGAACTGGCACCAGTAGCGGAGGGGCTCACGGCCCATCACGGCAAGGGGCCCACGTCAAAATTTACCAAAGGGAAGTAACCCCTTTGATAACTTATGATCAAATACCCAATCACCTTTTTAAAAAAATTATAAGTGTACTTCAGCGAGATCGATTTTAACGGAGGGGGGAGCTGTCCGGGTGTTGTAGGCATGGGCGTTAATTATGGGGGGGGGAGGGGTTATAACCACCGCCCCTGCAATAATCAAAACCAACCAATACAACCACTGTAGACCCCCTTAAATGGGTGGTGACCTCAACTCCACCAATGCTCAACCCAAAGTTATTATGCCCTTGGTCGTAGGCCTATTTCGGATGTGGTTTAAGTGAGTAATTAAACATGACTGAGCATTATCACTGATCACTGCGAAGTACGGCAACTGCACATAGACATTAAACTACGGCCACTACCCAATCTATGTGAGGAAGGACACTGAGATAGGACAGGATTTTCAATCTACTATTTCAATTAAAAGGCCCTGGATGTCACTTTAGCACCGAGTTCTTGCTGTGTGCTGATTGGCCAGTCTCCTATAATCATACATGTGCCGCTAATGTTAATGTGCAACAGCTGGATAAGTCTTTCAATCAATGAAACAAACCAGTCAAAAAACAAGAAGAATTGAACGATTCAGCCAACAACAGGAACCTTTCAATTTTAAAGTAGTCTGTAAAAGCTGAAATAGCTCAAAGTGTCCACCGCATCCCACAGATGCTCAATCGGATTAAGATCTGGGGAGTTTGGAGGCCATGTCAAGACCTTGAACTCCTTTTCATGTTCCTCCAACCATTCCTGAACAATTCTTGAGCGTGGAAGGGCACATTATCCTGCTGAAAGAGGTCACTGTGATCAGGGAATACTGTTGCCATGGAGGGGGGTACTTGGTCTGCAACAATGTTTAGGTAGGTGATAGTGTCAATGTCACACCCACATGAATGTCAGGACCCATGGTTTCCCAGCAGAACATTGCCCAGAGCATCACACTGCCTCCACCAGCTTGCCTTCTTCCCCTAGTTCATCCTGGTGCCATCTCTTCCCCAGGTTAACAATGCACAGCCACATGATGTAACACAAAATGTGACTCATCAGACCAGGCCACCTTTTTCCACCACTCCATGGTCCATTTTTTATGCTCATGTACCCATTGTAAGTGTTTTCAGCAGTAGACAAAGGTCAACATAGACACTCTGACTGTTCTGCGGCAATGCAACTCCATACGCAGCAAGCTGCTATGCACTGTGTGTTCTGACACCTTTCTATTATAGCCAGCATTAATGTTTTCAGCAAATTGTGCTACAGCCAGAAAAAAAGTACCAATTTGTACCTTTGGTTTGCTTATACCCCAGTGTAGGGTCTGCCAATTATACCCTAGCTATAGGTAGATGTACCTTTTAAGGTACAAAAATGGACCATGAGGAATATTTTTGTATCATTTTGTACCATTAGGGGTACATGAATGTTGTTCATACCTTGGGGATGTTCCTCAGAGTCTATTTCAGTACCTTAAATTAGACTAAAAGGTACATTTCTATCTTGTATGATTACATAACATGAAACATAATTTCATCAGAAACTTTTGTTGTTTGATCATTATGAAAGTTTCAATTCTGTTCAAAATGAATCACTCACATACAGAGATCTGTGATGCCAAACTCATAGGAGAAAGGTCTGCTCATATAAGCAAGCCGTTTGTAGGTTGTGGGTTTTGGATTCATGTGCATTGGGTTGTGGGTTTGAATCCTTTGGTCAGGGGAATATTCGTATCATCGCTGGACCTTCAGCCCCACCTGCTCTAGGAATGCTGGCTCAAACTTCTCCGTGACCTCATGCTTTTCTCTGCTAAACAAAGTCACTATGATTAGCACTTAATATGTCCACTAGGTGGCAACGTTATATCACAAGTCTCATTGTAACAAAACTTCCTACGGCCTTAGTCATCTTGAGGTTTGGCTACTATTCTTCCTAATTATGCACCCTTGATTTTGTGGTCTACCCGGGCTTTTGACTTTATATTTTTGCAGTGTAGTTATGATAACCTTAATGCGATTTTGTTCAATTCAAACAAGATATTTTATATGTAAGTTTAAGATAATTTAGGCAGGTCTATTTATCAATTAAAATTGAGTATTGATTAAGGTGTTCGTGTATAATTTTATTACTAAATGTAACATTTTCAAGAGTAAACATTACTATAAATGTATTTTTGAACTGTTCAGTGGCGCCCACAGAAAATTTCGATTGGGAAGCCCATCAGGGACTATAGTTGTGTTTACGGGGGTGGCCAGGGGTATGAACTTCCGACCTGAGAGGGGGGTTAGGTATGCAGACGATAAAAAACGATCGATTGGCCACATTTGTTGATGTGGGGTGGCAACATATTTTGTAGATCCGCCCCAGAAAATGTAATTTATTGTGAATTTTGCTGATTTTAACATTTTGGACAAAGCGACTTGCCGGATCAGTCAGTCCCTGTAACTGGGGGTTAAAGGCCCAAAAGTGAAATCATTCTGTCGATTTTGACCCAGCGCGACCTTCCAATCAGAGACACAAAGTCCTAAGCCACTGAGCCACCCACGTTCACTCTGTGTTTACTTTTACTGGTATACAGCTCTTACTGTGTTTTGTGATTAAAATTGTATTATTGGGTTAATAACTAAAGTCAATAATTGTATTATTGTCTGTGTTTGAAATTGTAAAATTTGCTATTAAGTGATCGTGACCGAAGCAACAAATGTAAACCAGAGGAAGAAAAAATAACCAGCAAAGTTAATAGACTGTAGCAAAATCGCCTCCCACTCGAATCCAGGGAAACTCCCTTTTCGGCCACCTCGAGTCGGGCTCGGCTGCTGTGCAGTGACGTCAGTTCCGGTGTACACAGACAGGGATTCGCTGTCAGGAGGGTGGGATGCGTAGCTGCCCAGGGATGCGGCTGCCTGCTCCATTCTAGAGGGGCTTCGTCAAGCTCTGCCAACGACGAATTTCCTACCGGGAGGTAATCTTTCCGCGTTTTTACGCCCCAGACTATTTCTATGGAGGGGTGTGGGTGGTGGTTTGGGGCGCTTCGCGTGTTTTTGGTAGAAGCACGAAAAACCGTGTCGCAAAATAGCTAGGGGATCTGAAACGCCCGCCAGCCCCGGCCATGGTGCAGTGCATTCGGAATGCGCCGTGCAGGCTTGATCGGGGGGCTGCGCGGTGCTCAACCGCGTAACACTTGCAAGTATTAATTTATTTCTCAACATTATACATGGTGGTAGGGGTCTGCATGGGGAATCGGGGAGGAGATGGGGATTCTGACGGGCTTGCTGTTTTAGTGTACCCGCTTAGTGGAGTGCTTCTGTGCTGCGAATAACTCCAGTATTCCTCTTCCCAGTCTGTGTTTTTTTGTTTCTATATCCGGCTGGTTTAAACTTGACAGACAGGGTGCGATCGGGCGCAGTTACGCGGCGATTCCGATGTCCGCCTTCCCCATTGCACGGTGCGCATTACGCCGTGCTGATCTGTTGCTTCGCCCCGAGTTCGGAATAAGCGAGGCGATCCCTCGCTGGTGTGCCTCTGTGTGTTTCTGTGCCTTTAAAAATGCCATATAAACAGAACTCTGCCACAAAGTGTCCCCCGGAGAAGGGCTGTGCGAGTTTCGGTGAAACTGGCACACTGCGCTTGCGGGGACTCCGGCACACCTTCCTGCGAAATAGTGATTCACTGCCAGCAACCCAGTGTCTGTTTTTCCTGCTGGATATGGTATTTACCAGCTAGTGAGCTAGCTAACTAAACCGCGAGGCTGTGGTGTCTAACCATCTGAATTAGCTATGCGGTCAGCAGGCTAGCATAAATCACCGACTGACAGGTAAGAATGCAAGTGGATGCGATTTAACCTGGCTTTTACTCCATGCGCCAATCCCTTCTCACGTATTATAAAAGTTGGTGGATGGCGATCGTGGGCTGTTTTGTCCGCTACCGGCTACCAAATACTGTATATGAATTACGTACCGTTTTCGAGTTGGATGAGACGCCAGATGGTACATTATTAAACTGGAAGGTGGAAAGTACCCTTAATTAACCACCGAATCAGATGGTCAATCCAAAGGGTATTATCGGTAAACAATTGTGAATGAACCGTATTTAGTGTACCCGAATTAAAAGCTGCGGATGATATGGTTTACTGTACGTTTCGAAACCAGAATGACAAGATGTTCGGCAGCAATTAGAATCGGCATGCAACTTTTGTCATGTTTACGTGATTATTTCTGATGCAGCCCGGGGAACGAGAATTTTCAGTTTAAAGGGATTGCATGGCATGTATTCTGCACGGGGAGTAATTAAGGCGGCTGCCTGCTTTACCCAGTAACTCAAATTACTGCATCCAGTTCGGACCTGAGAAAAAGTTGGGGGGCGCGTTCGGTCCGCAGCGCCGGTGACCGTGTAAGGGAATCGCCTCAATGGGGCGCATTCCTCGCGGATAATCCCTATTCTTGCGAGCCCATGACCTAATTATATTGGTATTTGCAGAGCTCCTTAGATAGCCTTTGACAGGAGGTGCTAATGTACGCACATTTAATCAAGTGTCTTCCTCATTTCACCGAGGATGTTGATATCTTTCAGCATTAATATTAATCTTCTTAAAGATCGGCGTCCGCACGCACGTTTGTTTCTTTTGAGTGTATTATTAAGGTTATTCACTACTTTATTAGTATTTTGCGGTATGAACATGGAGCTTTTTGGCGAAAAGGACTCGGTCTGCCTGCACTGAGGTCGTGTGGAATGTGCTTCCTGTTTGGGTCGCCGATGCTCGGAAATGTTGGGGAAATATGGCCGGTTGCTTCGTATCTTACCACTCAATTAGCGTTCAGGGAAAAAGCCCGAGACGGTAATGAATATATAAAAGGGATCTATTTTGTTAGCCACAGGTTGACAGACGATTGCCGGTCAGAGTGGATATGTTGGGTGCCTGAGCAGAAGTTATACTGGGCTGGTTATTTATTGCCTTGGGTTGTGCGTTCTAACCCGTGGCAGAGCGGCTCTGAATACTGTCAGGAATGCGCTTTTGGCCACTTTAAATGTAATTCTGCCAAGTGTTATATTACAGCCCGTGTTCACAAGGCTTCTGTTGTTTGATTAGATGTGCAGTCTCTGGCTTGTGTAGCATGTGTTTTCATGTGTAATATCCACTGATAAATGAGCCAGTTTAATATTTCTTAAATATTAATTCAAATTTATGGTTAAAATACAGCGAAGAACTTTTTTTTGGGTGGGGATGTAACCTTGGTCTTGGTTTTATAAAACCATTCTCATGTGAAGTAGTCCTGTAGTATTTCTCTCTTTTGATTTTGAGTTCAGCAGCTGTTTTGTTACAAATATCTAGCACCTACACAGGTGTTGGGCTAAAAAATACCGGCTGCATATTGCATGCTTGTAGACAGACAGATGCAGGCAGTGCTTCCTGTCATTGTTTTTGACCGTTTGGTAGAAATTTGGCACCATTCTGCCACAAGGAATTCAATCTATGCTCTGTGTCGGTGAACTCTAAGCTGCTTGTAAGCACCTCTTCAGACGTTCCTTTAGATATTGCTGAGATTGGGGCTTGCTGACTGAAAAGGACAGTGGGAGATGGTAGATACGTTCAGCACTGTGCTCTGGAATCACCTGTTGACAACCTGTATCTGGTGGGTTGGCGCAGTGGAGGATGCACCTTCCTGAGGTGAATGACGCTCACATAATGAGGTAGTGTGATAATGTTGTGCTGTGTCAACACAGCTTTGCTGAGGGATTAGTGAGTCAGGCCCAGGGAGGAAAAAATCCATAAAATCTGTGTGGTATCACTGGTACCTTACAGAATTGAACTGGGGCTTCTATTGCGTGATACCCTCAAAAGTGCTATATGTGACCCAAGGTAATTCAGTATGATTTCATTCAGAAGAAACTGGAGAAAAGGCTGCTATAATGAAACCATGTTATTAAGGTGTTGCTGTTCAGGGTGTCCTTCATGTAAGGCAGGACACTGCTTTCTTGTGTTTCTCGTCACAGGTGTAAGAGAGGCAGGTGAAATGTAAGAAATCGTTCTGTTTCTGGAGTCTCCATCTTCAAACGCCACTTGTTTCATTAATGGCCATTACCTTGATGATATGAGCAGCCTGTATACAGGAAGTATCCTGCTGTGTTTGGTCATTTGAAATTCCCCTTTGTCCACGTTTTGTTGTGGGACTCCTGTGATGCAACGTTGGGTCGGTCAGTCTTCTGTCTCATCTCGCTCCATCTCGTCCATACTAAAGAATCACTTTGGCATATGTGGTCCAATCCCCCTTTCAGCTGATCTCCAAAAAGGTCTATCCCATCTCATTCCAGCTCGGTCGGTTTAATGTGTTTGTCATGTTCCAAGATGCAAATCCTCAATTAGACCCTATTGATAGTGGTTGAGGTAATTTCATTGAGTGTCGCTGGATTTTAATACCAGCCGTTAGACAGTAGCTCTTGTTCTCTGACATCTACGGCTGCAGGAGTTGAGAAAAAAGTTTTTTTTCGAGGTATCACATAGTTGTAGGACTTGCAAGTTTGTTGTGGGGTTTCTCCTGGGAAACCTTGCTAGAAGTCCTGTGGTATAGAGGATTGCTCAGTGGTAGAATGGGACTTTGGAATTTATGTGGTGAGTTTAACGGAAAGGTCTGTCTTCGGATTTGTTTGTCATGCGAAGATCATGGTTCTGTGTCTGTCTTTTATTTGTCTCTGCTGCCATCCTGTTTGGCTTTGGGATATTGGTTCTGGAAGATGTGTAGCATTGAAGTCTGAAGGTAAGCAAACAATTAGGTGTTTTGGTGCCTGTTTCCAAACGAAGTAAAACCAGTTTTAAAATCCCTGTTCACTGGCAGGTAAAGAATATCCTTTGGTTTTATGCCTTATTCTTTGTAAAACTGCTTGATGGTTTAAGTTGTATGAAACTAACTCGTGTCATATTTCTCTTCTTTTTTTTTTGTTAACTGCTCTGTGTATCACACTTGGATCTTGTCGCTAAGTGATACTTGAGTGGAAATCTGCAAAGGCTGATGCTGAGTGGTTTTTGTTTTCATCATTTTGTCCGGCACTGAAATAAATTAAGTATAAGCTCATTTGGGAGTGGGGGTTAGGGTTAGTGATGGCTGCTGTCATCACGACCCACTTGACCGCCTCCAGTCTGCTCCGTTGGGTACCAGCGTATCTCAGGTGCGTATGGAGACCCGGAGATGCCAGAGAGGCTACCTGCCAGGCCTCTGAGGCAGAGTGTCCCCGGAGAGCCATGGTACTACAGAAGATCTCCTTTCACACCTTTGTGGGCCCGTCAAGCTGCTCAGAGTAGATAACGGCGAGGCTCTGCCTGTTGTTCAAACACTCCGAGTTGTTTTCCTGTCCACTTCACTGGCGAGTGTTGCTAAAAAAGATTGACTATCGATTATGTGGTTATTCTAGGGTGTTAACCTGTTTACAGGTCTTTTTCCCAACTTTCGACGCAAGTTTAAACCAGACATGTTAGGACTTGTTTTATTTATTTGTAATTGTAATTCAAGAATAATATCCAACGTAATGCTGTCACTGTAACGTGATTTTGGAGGCATGATGACTCACTGGTAGCACTGTAGCCCGACAGCTCCAGGGATGTCCGTTTGAACCCTGCCTCACTTCTTCGTTTGTGCATGTTCTCCTCGTTTAGTGTGGGATTCCTCCTGCAGTTTGGTTCACTTGCATCTGTAAGCCATCCTGAGTGTGATGCATGAATATGTGTGTGTTTGTGTTCCCTGCCATGGCCTAGAACAGGGGTGAGGAACCCGATCTATGGAGAGCCTCCCAGCGGATAAATAGGCAAACAAGTTTTCTTTAAGTTTTGTGGTTCCAAAACAAAACTGAAAGGCCCCAGTTTTTCGTTGACACTGTATTTTGAGATGTTGAGGTTGCTGTGTGTGATCAAAGCCCACCTTTATGTCTAACGGTTTGCTCTATAGTCAGTATCCATTCACACTCTCGTCATCACCGGACATGACCACTAAAGACACATCTTTTGCACTTTCTGCTTATAAACATTTACCAGAAATGCCAAGATGGTTACTCCTACCAAATAGCTACTTTGGAGATCACTGTGTTCAGTGGAATTGTACCTTGGAAGCGGCCGGATTGGAATGTAAATTCGTGGAATTTTTGTGGCGTATCTGTGCTGCCATTGGCCGCCTCTGGACCCGTTTTTGATGCGTTTTTGTTCTTGGCGCCGTCATTCCAGATACAAGCCAGGGTCTTGGACGGTAATCTAGCCCAGTGTTTCCCATTCCGGTTCCCAGGGACCTGCAGACAGTCCACGTTTTTGTTCCCTCCCAGCTCCCTACTGGTAGGGAGTACAAATGTTGACTGAGCTGGGAGGGAGCAAAAACGTGGACCGTCTGTGGGTCTCCATGGATCGGGTTGGGAAATACTGCTCTCGCCCGAGGCCTGACATGGCTGTTTGTGCCGTTATAAGACCCACTGCTGCTTCACACAGGACTTCTCACATTCTCCACTATTACACAGCAGAGCTGACCTGCTCAGTTTACTGCTATGCTGAGATCATTATAAAACAAAATAATATCCTGTATTATTAAGAGTTATGTCAATATGCCACACACCTATTTGCCTGTTTAGGGTATAGATAGCTTATAAAAGGCAGAGTTAGTGTTATTTGATGTTTAACATGATTATAGTCATGAAACAAAATAACTTGGTAACATGATTCTCTGGGCGATTTATTTGTTCTCATATGCATGTCATACGGGGTTGCAGTCATTGATGGGTGGACTCCCGTACCTGCAGAAATGGCCTGGAAATGAAAGCAGCGTAGCTGACTGTAGCAGTTGT